TTGCCAAAATAATTGAGAAAGCTAAATCAGGTTTTTTGTGGGGTGAGTCAGAGCTTAAAAAGAAGGTGCAATTGGTTAAGTGGGCTGAGGCAACTTTGAATAAAAACCAAGGAGGGCTAGGTGTGAGAAGCATAGGGAAAGTGAAAGAATGTCTTTTATTAAAATGGCAGCGGAGATATGGTAAGGAGGATGAAGCACTGTGGAAGCAAGTTTTGTGCAGCAAAGCATGGAAGATCAGGAGGCGGTTGGACCCCTGTGACACCTGAATCAGCATGATCTCTAATGTTTGGCAAGATATATGTCAGTTAGCATCAGCCAACTCTGCTTTGATTGAATGTATTTGACTAATTTCAAGGTTGTTGGCAATGGCAGTAGGACACATTTTTGGCTTGACAAATGGCATAATAATCTGTGTTTGAGGAGTGAATCCCCAAGGTTGTTCAGTCTATCGAATGAAAAGGAGGGGCTGCTTAGTCATTTTCACCATAGAAAAGGACAATGAAGGGATTGGAAATTGACTTTTAGAAGAGAGTTGCTAGCTTGGGAGGAGGAAGAAGTTCACAGACTCTATGAGTTGTTGGTTGATGTTCCTAATGTCAACATTGGTGAGGAGGACACATGCATGTGGTGGCCCCATACAATTGTGCTTATTATGTAGCTTCAGCTTGGAAATGGGGGCAGTCTAGTAGAGGGCCTATTAGTAGAATACCAAAATGTTTATGGTTCAATGCAGCAACCTCCCAGAGTGCAATTTTTTGGATGGCTTGCTTGGAGAGTGAGAATTAAAACCTCTGTTTTTATGGAGAGGATTGGTGTACTAATCAACTCAGGTAATACCTTGCGTCATTTTTGCAAACTAGAGAAAGAATCAGTGAACCATATTCTCTTGTATTGCCCAATGGTTTGGCTAATCTGGTCTGAGGTAGTCAATTGCTGGGGATTGAAATGGGCTATACCTAGATCTATAGAAAGTCTTCTTCTCTGGTGAGGTACCAAGTTCAAGATGTCAGTTGTGTGCATTTGGAAGATGGTTCCTCTTGCTGTCATGTGATCTGTTTGGAAATTAAGAAATGAATGTCCTTTCAATGAAGGTCACCCTGACTTTGACAAGTTAAAAGAATTGGTGAAGGTAAGGACAGCTCTATGGGCTAAGAACAGCTTGAAAGGAGTGAACTACTTAGTGCAAGACATTGTCTCCAACCTGAATCAAATTGATACTGCCAGGGGGAGCATATATTGGCCTGAAAAGTCAGTTGGTGAGTCTTGTGTTTGGCTGGTAATTCATTTGCTCTACACTGGCTTTGCTGCTTCTTGTTGGATCAGTGCTTTGTAGTTGGATTGGATGGTCATGCTATTTGACTTTGCTGCTACTGCTGCGATGGGGTTGATTGTTGTACTAGGCGCCTGTGTAGGTTTATTTGCTCTTGTTTTCTCGTCTAGTTGGTCTCTAGCCAAACTTGAGCTAGCAAATGACAGGTATCCTTCTCAGGGTGTTTTGAAAAGTTGATAAAAAATTAATTTTTGATTTTTTATCAAGTTTTTAAATTTTTTGAAAAATAATTTGAGAAGTTAGTAAAAAATTAACTTTTTACTTTCTAGTTTAATATTTATTTATAGTGTCAAATCAAATTAAAATGACCAAAATATCCTTACCCAACATAATTTTTTTTGTTTTTTTTTTTTTTTTTGAACAAAGAATGGAGAAAACAAGCAATCCAACAAACAAAACAAGAAAACTAAAGAGGCCGAACTAAAGAGCGAAGAGTAGACGAAGGGTGGGAGACCCAATCAATGGGAAGCTTGCCATGCAGGGAGGCCTGGGCCACCCAGTGGGCAGCACCATTTGCAGTTCTCGGACACCACTGAAAGGAGAGGGTGCTTTGAGCAGCTAGATGCTTGATGTCATGAACAATAGCTCCACATTCCCAAGGGGGAAAATCCTCAGAAACACACAAATGGATGACTTCTTTGTTATCTCCCTCAATTTCCATCTCTGAAAGGTTGCAAGCCTGGGCGAGTTGACAAGCGCACCTACAAGCTAAGGCTTCTCCCTGAAATGAGGATGAAATGTTCCACTATTTGACTAGTCCATCCAAGAGCCTTCCTCCGGGTCTCGTAAAATGGCAGCTTAGTAGACCACTGACTTCTCCTTGGGTCTTCCCCAACCAAGCTCTAAGTTTCCACGTTTGTAAAGGGAGCAGTAGCACCGTTCAAATTCTGCCCTTGCTACTCGAGCTTGATGCAAAGTTGAGGAGGGCTTAATCGGAAAGTGATTGAAAACAAAATTGTTTCGGTCCTTCTATATATACCAACCTATCTAGGCTACCATGCTAAAAAAAACATTCAGCTTATCAACTTTCTAAAAACATTCCAACATGTCGCAAGACCATTTCAAGAGTGAGTTGATGGACGCCCAATCCACTCTACAGCTAAGCTCACTTCCGAACCAAACCGCTCTAACCCATTTAAAAAAAAAAAAAAAAAAAAAAAAAACATATGGGGAAAATAGTGGGTACCCATCCCCAACCCATCCCCTGTGGATATTTAAAGAATATCACCTACCTTACCCAATGGATAAGAAAAAGAGGGGAAAACCCATGTATTTGGGTTGGGTCTCCATGGATACCCACAGGGTAGGTTATCCATTGCCATCCCTAGCTAGGTGTGAGAAGCATAGGGAAAGTGAAAGAACGTCTCTTATTAAAATGGCAGTGGAGATATGGTAAGGAGGATGAAGCACTGTGGAAGCAAGTTTTGTGCAGCAAAGTATGGAAGATCAGGAGGCGGTTGGACCCCTGTGACACCTGAATCAGGCATGATCTCTAATGTTTGGCAAGATATATGTCAGTTAGCATCAGCCAACTCTGCTTTGATTGAATCTATTTGACTAATTTCAAGGATGTTGGTAATGGCAGTAGGACACATTTTTGGCTTGACAAATGGCATAACAATCTGTGTTTGAGGAGTGAATCCCCAAGGTTGTTCAGTCTATCGAATGAAAAGGAGGGGCTGCTTAGTCAATTTCACCATTGAAAAGGACAATGAAGGGATTGGAAATTGACTTTTAGAAGAGAGTTGCTAGCTTGGGAGGAGGAAGAAGTTCAGAGACTCTATGAGTTGTTGGTTGATGTTCCTAATGTCAACATTGGTGAGGAGGACACATGCATGTGGTGGGCCCATACAATTGTGCTTATTCAATGTAGCTTCAGCTTGGAAATGGGGGCAGTCTAGTAGAGGGCCTATTAGTAGAATACCAAAATGTTTATGGTTCAATGCAGCAACCTCCCAGAGTGCAATTTTTTGGATGGCTTGCTTGGAGAGTGAGAATTAAAACCTCTGTTTTTATGGAGAGGATTGGTGTACTAATCAACTCAGGTAATACCTTGCGTCATTTTTGCAAACTAGAGAAAGAATCAGTGAACCATATTCTCTTGTATTGCCCAATGGTTTGGCTAATCTGGTCTGAGGTAGTCAATTGCTGGGGATTGAAATGGGCTATACCTAGATCTATAGAAAGCCTTCTTCTCTCTAGTGGTGAGGTACCAAGTTCAAGATGTCAGTTGTGTGTATTTGGAAGATGGTTCCTCTTGCTGTCATGTGATCTGTTTGGAAATTATGAAATGAATGTCCTTTCAATGAAGGTCACCCTGACTTTGACGAGTTAAAAGAATTGGTGAAGGTAAGGGCAACTCTATGGGCTAAGAACAACTTGAAAGGAGTGAAATACTTAGGCCTCGTTTGGGAACAGGCTAATTTAGTAACTTTTTGATTATTTGACTAAAAAGGTAGGTAAAAAAAACTTGTATGTTTGGGATAATTTTTTGACTAATTACGAAAAGATGTGCAAAAAGTAGAGAGAAAAGAGAATCTTTGACTTTTTGGTATGGGTTGTTGGCTTTTTGGCTAATTTAGTAACTTTTTGGCTAATTGGCTAAAATAGCCTCTTGCCAAACGAGGCCTTAGTGCAAGACATTGTCTCCAACCTGAATCAAATTGATACTGCCAGGGGGAGCATATATTGGCCTGAAAAGTCAGTTGGTGAGTCTTGTGTTTGGCTGGTAATTCATTTGCTCTACACTGGCTTTGCTGCTTCTTGTTGGATCAGTTCTTTGTAGTTGGATTGGATGGTCATGCTGTTTGACTTTGCTGCTACTGCCGCAATGGGGTTGATTGTTGTAGTAGGCGCCTGTGTAGGTTTATTTGCTCTTGTTTTCTTGTCTAGTTGGTCTCCAGTCAAACTTGAGCTAGCAAATGACAGGTATCCTTCTTAAGGGTGTTTTAAAAAGTTGGTAAAAAATTAATTTTTGATTTTTTACCAAATTTTTTTATTTTTTAAAAAATAATTTGAGAAGTTAGTAAAAAGTTGACTTTTTACTTTTTAGTTTAATATTTATTTATGGTGTCAAATCAAATTAAAATGATCAAAATACCCTTACCCAACGTAAGAAATTTATTTTTTAAATTTTTTGTCATAGGCCTTTATTTGTAATTTCACACTTGCGTTTTTTGCCCTTCCCAAACTAATTTTGTTATGTTTTTGGCCACATGCGTTTTTGGAAAATGATCAAAAACGTTACTTTTTATGAAAGTTCTCAAAACCGCACTTAGTGTCAACTTAGTTCAGATTAAAAGGGTTCACTATGATGCTTTGTTCTTACCTCGACTTTATTGATATAATTCCATATACAGTATAATATTGTTTCCATCAATAAAGTTAATTCTCTTTATTGATAAAAAAAAAAAAATGCTACTAAATTATACCATAAAGAGATAAATTAGATTTTACGTTTAATTTAATAAACTTATATCATTATCAATATATACACTACTCTTCACGTGAAATAATAAATAAAAGGATGATAAAAATATAGTAAACAAAAATCTCATTTGTCAACTATATATTTTAGTCAAAACATTAAAAAATCACTATAAATTGTCATATTACTCTCTATTTTTTTATACCTTTTTATAGAAAGTCAAAAAATTATTAAAATAACTTGTTCTCAAACAAGGCAAAGTATTATTATAAACTTCATCCATCCATTGGCATGCTATAGAGAGGTAGAGAGAAAGATGAAGATTAGAGTACAAACATAAACAACATCATCCACACAAATCAAAAAAACGTAGGCAACACACACTTCTAAACAAGAAGACCACACACGAAAGAAAGCATGAAGCAAAAGAAAGTCCACATAAGAACACAGACAGAGACATTATTATTTGCAAGACACAACACACGAGACGACACAACACAACAAAGAACTAAACTAAGTAGGGGAGAGGTGTTTTGACGATATTATCCCTCTTTATCTTCTCCCATGCATGCATATAATTACATATTTTTAGCAATGTTTGGTGCAGAAGCAACGACGACGGAAGCCCCTACAATTGCCGCCAGTAAAGCCCTCAGTCTTGCAAACTGAACCACAGTTGGTCGAACTCACACATGGTCCCTTGAACTTATGGCTCTGTGACTCGCATGTCCTCGCCTCTGCAACCATCCCATTGGGACCCGAACCCATCTCTGCTTATTAACACCACCAACAATCAGAAGATGACTAAATAAAACAAATCTAAGAAAAAAAATAAATGATATTTTAATAAAAATGCAAAGGTATTAATGTGTAATTAACTGACCCTAACTTAGTGATTGAGATTTTAGTAAAACAGTAGGGAGCAATATTTTTAATTACTTCTAACTTAGTCATTGAGGCACTTCTCTAAAATTTGAGTTTGAGTCTTATTACTAACAATGTAATTTCTTTCTCTTATTCCCTTTCCTTCTCTTGACACCAAAAAAAGGTGTTTGGTTTGTATTTTGAATCAAATGTCGCAGTCTGAAATTTTAAATAAAATTTTTTTTTTTTTTGGAGTAGTGTCTCGTAATTAAGTCTTTTCATATTGGACCTGCCCCAAACAGTGCATACCGGCCTGTATTTGATTGTTGCAGTCTAGTCTAACGATTATGAACTAATACGTAACAGAATCGGCCAGTACAACTGTAAAATCCAATTACACAGCAATACCTACTCATACCTGACTCCGTAACCTTAAAATCTGGTACGTATCAGTCAATTTTTTTAAGGTTCTTCTTGGCTCATCTTTGAGATTAAGATTTGACGGTTCAATCTAGTTCATGAGCTCATTTTTTTTGTCTTATTTTAATAATTCAAAAAATTTAATATATAGAATTAGTCGAGTACTACATCTCTTTAAAAAAATTATATTGATTGGATATTAATAGCTTTTTGATCGGATCAAATTTCTATCAACCGTCTATTTTTTCACGTTTATTTTATTTTATTTTTTATACAAATCTAATCCGATCAAATGGCTATCTACACATTGAACAATTTGAATTATCAAAATAAGGAGATGGTCCAATCTTGATCTCAAACATGAGACAAGCTGGACCCATTTTTTAAAACGGAAAATGATTCATGCCCACAATTTTATCCCACGAAATTATTCCTTTAGAACTTTTTACAGGGTAGAATTGGCCGTTATAGACTGAGTGAATAAGCCCTTACTAGTAAAATTTTGTAAATGGATATTTTTGTGCAATAAAATTGTGAGAATGTAGCTCTACCGTTTTACAACTTTGGTTTTCTATTCTTTTTTTTCCTACGTAAAATAGTGAGAAAAATTCCGTTTGGAAAGCCAATCTTGAGGGTTTTTTTTTTGCTATTTTAACCAAACAAAAAAAAAAAAACAAAATAAACTTTTTAGTCTAATAAGATAAAACATCACATCCAAACCATAATCATTACATTCCTCTTCTCACAAAAAAAAGTTACTCCCTCCGTCCCAAAATAATGGTCACTTTTGGGGAATCCAACTTTTTTTTGATAGTACAATTATTGTACTTTTAAAAAGTTGGTTTTCCAAAATTACCCTTTGATAGTACACTTTTTTGAGAATATCAATGTCATAATTGTACTTTTTATATTATTTATGAATTTAAAAGAAGGGCAAAATGAAAAATTTATATTATTTTTGTACTTGATTTTTGAAGAGGGACTAATATTTTGGGACAATGAAAAATGGAATAAGGGACTAATATTATGGGACGGAGGGAGTAAAAAAATTAAAAATCATTCTCAAACCAAGCTTTTTAACCCAAGCTAAAATAATCAAAAAAATCAACTTACTTTCCAAACGAAGCCATAGCTTTTTTAAATTAAAAAACCAAAATTTGTCTAATGATATGCCCCAAAATGCTTCCATATCAAGTACTAGCACTGTTCATATCAAGTTCTAGCACTATAATAATCTTCATATATTCTTATATATGTGTTACGCCAAATCAAAAATTGAAATATATATATATATATATATTATACAGTTTAACAAAATAGAGAACGAACCAGTGACCAAGAGAAGCATCAGCACCACCAAAATGGTTGAAACGAAACTCACAGAGCGCCCCATCTTGCTAGAGAGAGAGAGAGAGAGAGAGAGAGAGAGAGAAGTTGCTAATGGAAGGAGGGCTTGCTTAGTTTCATCGTTTATTTGGTATTTATATAGGGTATATTCCAAAGGAAAGCATATTCTGGAATGTTTGTTGTAGGCATAGTTTGGGAAGTTGATTTTGGTGGGTTAGGGGTTAAAATAGTCACAAAAAAATAAAATAGTTGTTTTTAATTTTTTTTGAATTAAAAAATTATTTAAAAATATTTAGTGTAGTTTTTATTTATAATTTAAAAGTATTATTTAATATAATTTATAATTTTTTTCAATTTTAAAAATTTGTGTTGAGAGTTTGGTGAAACATCATTTTATAACTTGCATGACAAAAGTAATTTATATAAATTTAAAAAATTAATTATAAAAAAAAAGGAAATTAAGGATAAGTTTGGCATCTTCAAAAAAATTTAAAAAGTCAAGAAGTCATTGTCTTATTTAAGTTAACATCATCTTATTTAAGTCACATCACCTCTCTATCACATCACTTCAAACACAACTCATATTTCATAAAAAGTCAAAAAGTACACTTATTTAGGATACCCCAAACAACTCCTAATACTCTTAACATTTGTTATTTAGGAGTTGTTTGGGATGACCTAAATAAGTGTATTTTTTACGTTTTACGAAAAAATATACAAAAAAATTGAGAGGTGATATAATAAAAAAAATAAAAAAATAAAAAGATAAATTATTTTGTAATAGTCAAACTTGACCTTGGTTATCATTAGAAGGTTAAAAATAGTCACACCAAATGAACTCTCGTAAAAGGAAAAATGCTTCGGACCCCCATTGGGGTCGACCCAGTGAGATGGCGCTCCGTGATTGGGTCAAAAAAAAATTATTATTATTTTTTTTTTGTAAGTTTCAATCAGTGAAGATTCGACACCTCACTAAGGGTGCGACCCCACTGGAAGTCGGTAGCAGAATTGCTCGTAAAAGCATATCTACTCATAAAAGTGATAAAAGTGTGTGCGCGGCGAGAATTGATAGTCTAATGAATGTGTAGAATATTATACTGAACATGTTAAAATGTGTGATAAAAGTATTTTATAAAAAAAATTGAAAAATAGCAACAGTGTATAGCTCATATTACTTTGGAGAAATTACCTGTCAGTAATAATTGTTAAAAATTATTATATATGAACAAAAAAAATTTAATTTTCATTAATTTTTAATTTTTACACATTTAAAAATCTCAATATTAATTTCTCTCCCCTTTCTTTAATTTCTCATATTAATTTATGAAAAATGAATAAAAACATTAATTAATATTATTATTAATGATGTGATTATGAGTACCACTCACTGTCCACAATGGAAAATGAGTGAGAGCACTAATTAGTGCTATCACTAATGATGTGGCAGTGGGTTTCACCAGGAATGATTTGATGTTTTGGCCTTGACGTTGTATTTTTTTTCTTTTTTTATTAAATGTCATGTCATTAGTAGTCTTTTTAGAGGTACAAAATTAGTGATCTCTATCATTGTTGGTCCACAATATACTGTGTCTGTTTTTTATCACTTTTAATGGTCTCTGACACGACCCGACTCGACTGACATATGTTAACAAAGGAAGAGAGAGTATGACACATGTTAAAGAAGGGAGTCAGTCCCCTGCTCTGACCTTTCTCACGTTTCTCTCCCACCGATTAAAATGGGCCCACTATAAGAGCTGGTTTGGCTGAGAAATTATTGATGGTCTCAGCAGAAATTATTGGTTGGTACTGAAAGATTCAAAATAAATAAAGAAAAATGTCTTGTACTTTAAATTTTGTAGCTCAAAAGTGACTTAAATGGTCAAAACGACGTCGTTTTGGCCATTTTTATGTTGTTCTGTACTCAAAACGACGTCGTTTTGACCATTTGAGTCACTTTTGAGCCACAAAATTTGAGTTACGTAGCATTGTCGATAAATAAATAAATAAAACAGTAATGATACATCCCACTAAAAGTAGTACTCTAAAGCACTACTAATGAGTTAGCAAGTACTTTAAATAAAAAAAAAAAAAAACAAGACACAAGCAGTGGGTCCCGTCTACTGTCACATCACTAGTGGTGCTAGTGGTACTTTTAGAGCCCCACTTTTAGTGGTCTCAAGCATTATTGTAAATAAAATAATAATAATAATAATAATAATAATAATTGGCTAGAGTCCTCCTTCCTTTGACATTTTAGAATTCTTTTTTGGATCTTAATATTGATTTATGTGTAGAATTCACGTATATTCAAAGAATGTTGGGAAGATCTTAAAAAAAAAATGTTTCAGTTGATTGAAATATTATCCCCACTTTTTTTATTATTATTTTTTAATGAAGGACAAGTGTCTCATTGTTTTTCTAAAAGAGAATTAAAAAAAAAAAAAAAAGTAGTGGATTCAACTAATTTAATTTATAAAAATTAAGTTGGAACACTGTCAACTTACTCAAGGAACAAACAATTATTTTCTTGACCCAAGGACAAATATAGATAGTGTCCTAACTTAAATATTACTGGTTAAAATAGTTGATCTCATTACTCGATATATTTTGGGAAGACAACTAGACATTTGTCCAAACATGAATAGCGTGGAACAATTCTTATGTAGTAATGAATAATTTTTTTGTTTGCCATAACCTACCATAACACACTTTTTTTTTATTTTTTTATTTTTTTTATGTCACATCACATTTTTATTTATTTTTTTTATATCTTTTTGTAGAAAGTCAAAAAATATATTTATTTAAATCATTTCAAAAAAAATTTAAGATGCTCACCATAGTAGTGACTCAGAAGAAATTATTTTTTGAAAAATGATCTACTCCTCAAAAAATCTTTCATAAAAGTACATTTTTATATAGACTATTATTAATAAAAATTTATCGCTACATTGTAAGTGAATAGACTTTTATTGGTGTGGGCCTCGTTTGGAAATAAATTTTTTTAGTAATTTTTTAATTTTTTGCCTAAAATATAATGTAAAAAAAATTAGTATATTTGGGATAATTTTTTAGCTTTTTACGAAAGATGTGTAAAAAGTAAAAAAAAAAATTTAACTTTTTAATATGAGTTATTAATTTTTTAATTTTTTTAATAATTTTTTGACTTTTTAACTAAAAAAACCACTTATCAAACAAAGCCCGAGTATATGAAATAGTGCTTTTATGTGAGATTTTAGTGTGGATGTAACACGCCTATTAATTTAATATTTTTTTGTCGATAACAAAGAAAATGCTAAGTGCACTGAATATATGGAATGCAAAGGCCTCTCACAAGAGGGTGGACCTAACATGAACTCCATATGTGTGGGCCCCACAAAGAGGGTTGTGTATTCTGTTCACAGTATCCTCTGTGCACCTAGCATTCATCTTGATAAAATTATTTGACATTTTAATTTGAAATTTATTTGATAAAATTGTGAGATTTAATATTTTTATGGGCATTCAGCCTATAAATTTAAAATTGAAATTTATTTGCCCAAACGTCCAAGGGTTAAAATATTGTCTCCATAAAGACAATATTAGCCCAAGGTTATTCAACTTTAAATTCTTATTGATTTTGATTATTGGCAAATATTTAAAATTCATTTTACTATTCATGTTTTCAAATAATAGTATACAAATTGTGCTTTAATGTTTCTAGAAGATTTATGATTCTAGAGTATTGTTTTTCAATGGTTTTTAATCCCTCAAAACATGAGATTAGCACTTGTTTGTAAAATTCTATTTATGCTTGAAATAGGTTTAAGGGTCAACGCCAAAACAGCAAGGGTCAACACCAGAGTGAAGCTCAAAATGCCTAAGTGTTCCAGAAGCAAGGGTTGACACTAAATTTCAGAATGCATTCTAGAAGCAAGAGTCGACACCAAAAACAGCAAAGATTTACACTAAATTTCAGAATACAATCTAGCAACAAGGGTCGACACAAAAAACAGTAAATGTCGACCTTAAATTTCAAAATGCAATCTAGCAGTAAGGTTCGACACCAAGAATCCTAAGGGTCGACACTAGGAACACCTGGAACAAAACTCAGAGAAGAAAAGAAGAGCAAAAGGTCGACACCCAAGTTGCAGGGATTGACACGTGTAAAATCTGGGTTTCAAAAATATAGGTACCAAATCAAATCTGTACTGACACAGCCCCTTTCTCAGTCGCTTTTTCAGAATTATGTGCAGAGTATGTCATCTTTTCTAACCCTTGAGCAGATCTTCTGGCACCATAACTTCTTCATGAAGTTGACTTATGAGATTGAGCATTAAATTAAAGCTTGTGCATTTAATGAACCTTCTCTTCCCAAGACCTACCTAGAGTCCTCCTTCTCCATCCTTTGATCAAACCTAGCTGGAAGATATCTTCCATGATTTGCTCCAACAGCTAGAATATGTGTCTCTACCTCTCTCCAACAGCTAGAAGCCATTAATGCTATAAAGAATGAGCTCTCATTGTTCGAAAGATACACTTCTTCAATACAAAAAACCTAGAGCATTCAAGAACAATAAAGAGCCTTTAATATACTCCATTGTACTTTCATTTTCACATCTGAGTGAGTCTTAAATTACTTGTGAGCCTACACTTTCATATCCATCTTTTGAGAGAGAATAGTTGTAAAAGATGACAGTTGTACCTCTTGTTATTGTTCCTTATTTTCTGAGTGAAACACTTGTAAAGTGAGGCATTTAGTTGAGAGGTCCTCGACAAATTGAAGAAAGCCTTTTGTAAAAATCCACAAACTAGGTGAAGCTTGGTGGTCCATTGATTGTTATTGAAAAAATTCTCATGGTGGTCTCTTGAGGAGTGGATGTAGGCCGATGAGCCGAACCACTATAAATCTTTGTGTCCAGCTCTTTTTTCCTTCCTTTTATTTTCTGTGTACTTATTAATTTTTTATTGCATTTAATCTCTTAGTCTTTGAAATCTATTTTCTGGCCAAATTTTTAATTACCTAATTCACCCCCCTCTTGGGTTGCTTTCCTGTATAATAGATAAGTTCCTACAAAATGACCAAAACACCCACCCTATATATAAAATTTAAACGCGTCCATAGGGGCAATTTGGGAAGAAGCTAAAAAAGCTAGCTTTTTAGCATTTTA